CTGCCTTGGCCAACTCAGTTTTGCTCCAGGCTGGCCGCCCCCTTCCCCAGCCTGGGAGTCTGGTTCTGCCCTGTAAAGGCAGTGGCCAGGGGGGCAACACTGAGAGAGAGCACCACCGAGGCCAGCCACAGCCTCTGCTGCCACCACCGCCAAGGTCAGGCACAAGGTGTGGCTCCCCAGTCAATCAGGCATTCTCAGAGAAACACTTTCTCTCTCCGGGACAGCTTCGCAGGGTTGGGGCCCCAGGCAGTCCGATCACCCAGTCCTCGCCCCCACTCCCAGACCCCCGGGCAGTGTGACCGGGAAGCAAGTGGCGCATCACAGGCCACACTGCAGTCCGTTCCCTCCAGGGAACCATTGAAATGACAGCAGGTGATGACACCAGGAGCACAGGGCGGTGCTTGCCACAGGATGCAATAAGATGAGAAAAAGCAGAACGCACAATGTAGCTGTTTAAACAACTACTTGTGGCCGGGCACAGGGGCTCACACCTGTAATCCCAACACTTTGGGAGGCAGAGGTGGGAGGATTACTTGAGGTCAGGAGTTCAAGACCAGCCTGGCTAACATGCTGAGACCCTATCTCTACTAAAAATACAAAAAATTAGCCAGGCATGGTGGCAGGCTCCTATAATCCCAGCTACTAGGGAGGCTGAAGCATGGGAATCACTTGAACTTGGGAGGCGGAGGTTGTAGCGTGCGAAGATCGCACCACTGCACTCCAGCCTTGGCAAGAGAAGGAGACCCTGTCTCAAATAAACAAACAAACATAGCTAAACATAGAAAAGGTACAGTGAAAATAAGGTTTAAAAGGTAGACTGGGTCAGATGTGGTGGCTGACACCTGTAATCCTAGAATTTTGGGAGGTCAAGGTGGGAGGACTGCTTGAGGCCAGGAGGTGCATCCTGGTCAATATGAAGAGATCCTGTCTCCTGCCTCTTTTTTTTCCAGACGACTCTCACTCTGTTGCCCAGGCTGAACTGCAGTGATGTGATCTTGGCTCACTGCAACCTCTGCCTCTCGGGTAGCTGGGATTACAGGCACCCACCACCACGCCTGGCTAATTTTTGTATTTTTAGTAGAGATGGGGTTTCACTATGTTGCCCAGGCTAGTCTCGAACTCCTGAACTTGGCCTCCCAAAGTGCTGGGATTACAGGTGTGAGCCATCACACCTGACCAAGATCCTATCTCCTTTTTTTTTTTTTTGAGATGGAGTTTCACTCTTGTTACCCAGGTTGGAGTTGCAATGGCGCGATCTCGGCTCACCGCAACCTCTGCCTCCTGGGTTCAGGCAATTCTGCCTCAGCCTCCTGAGTAGCTGGGATTACAGGCACGAGCCGCCATGCCCAGCTAATTTTTTGTATTTTTAGTAGAGACGGGGTTTCACCATGTTGACCAGGATGGTCTCGATCTCTTGACCTCGTGATCCACCCGCCTCGGCCTCCCAAAGTGCTGGGATTACAGGCGTGAGCCACCGTACCTGGCCTTTTTATTTTTTATTTAAAAAAATAATAATAATTGCACTGCAACATGACAATGGCTAAAACTCAGGAATCGCCAGCGTCGGCAATAGGAAGTGTTCAGCTCTGTTAGAATCTTTTGGGACTACAGTGAACAGGGCCCACCGTTAACAGGATCCTGACTATGCTGTACAGTGACTGCGTTAAGTGGTAAGGGGAAGGGGGAAGGTTAGAGGAGAATGGACATTTTTTTCTTTTATCACTTTCAGATTTTCCTGTAATGAGATGATGGATGGGCGAAAGGAAGAGAAATTAGAAATTAATCTTTAATGAGTTTTCTACCTGCAGGCACTTCGGGTTCATTAACTCACTTCATCCCATCAGGGAGATGCTATTATCCCATTTGTGGCTCAGAGAGGTTAGGTCACTCTCCCAGGGTCACACAGCAGGAGCAGGGCTAGGAAGGGCATGAGAGCTGGATCACAGCCAGAACTGGGCCTCTCTAGATCAGGGAGGAACAAAGGGGAAAGTACCCAGAAGGTTCAATAAGACTGCCTCGCTGCACAGCACACCCCAGCCCCAGGGTTGGGCCAGGCCAGTACCCTTCTCCAGCCATTAGGCTACACAGCCCTACTTCTCACTGGACCAAGCTCAGCCCACTGGGTGCATTCGCCCACGCCCTTCCCCCACTGCCTGCAGGTCCTTCCTCCTCCTCTGCTTATTTGCAAATTCCATCCACTGCCCTGCACCTATCTTCAGGTTTCTTCCAGAAAGTCTTCCCTGATTGCCCACTCGTGAGCCCACCTGGGCCTCCCAGAAGCCAGCTGTGAGTGCAGATGTCCTCACTTAGATAGCCACCGCCGCCTCACTGGCATCCCCACCTGGCTCTTAACCCCACAATCCATTCTCTGCACGTGGCCCAGGGGAGCGAACAGGGTGCAGTCACTCCTGTTGGTGTCCTCCAGCTGTTCCCACCATCCTTTCCTTGTTTTCTTTTTGAGTCAGTCTGGTTCAGTCGCCCAGGCTGGAGCGCCGTGGTGGGATCACGGCTCACTGCAGCCTCCACCTCCTGGGCTCAAGTGGATCTCCTACCTCAGGCTCCCGAGCAACTGGGACCACAGGCATGCGCCACCGTGCCAGACTAATTTTTTTTTTTTTTTTTTTTTGTAGAGATGAGGTCTTGCTGTGTAGCCCAGGCTGGTCTCAAACTTCACTGTTCAAGCGATCCTCCCACCTCAGCCTCCCAAAGTGCTGGGATTACGGGCCTGAGTCACCGTGCCTGGCCCCACCACTCTTTTTTCTTTTCCTTTTTTTTTTTGAGATGGAGTCTTGGAATTCCCAGGCTGGAATACAGTGGCACAATCTCAGTCCACTGCAACCTCTGCCTCCCGGGTTCAAGTGATTCTCCTTCCTCAGCCTCCCCAGTGGCTGGGATTACAGACATCCACCACTGCAACCAGCTAATTTTTCTATTTTTAGTAGAAACGGGGTTTCATCCTGTTGGCCAGGCTGGTCTCCTAATTTCAAGCGATCCTCCCGCCTCAGCCTCCCAAAGAGCTGGGATTACAGGCTTGAGTCACTGTGCCCGGCCCCCACCACTCATAAAACAAACCCAAACCCTGTGTCCTTCAGGCCTGCCTCTGCTGGCCTCCCTCACCTCTTTTCACACTCCTCTCCAGCCAGACTTCCCCTCTTTCTCTCTCTTGTTTTTTTAGGGTCTCGTTCTGTCACTCAGGCTGGAGTGCTGTGGTGTGATCATGGCTCACTGCAGCCTCCAACCCCTGGGCTCAAGCAATCCTCCCACCTCAGCCTCTCGAGTACTAGGGACTACAGGCACACACCACATTCCTGGCTAACTTTTAAACTTTTTTTGTAGAAATGGGGTCGCACTATGTTCCCCAGGCAGGTCTGGAACTCCTAGGCTCAAGTGTTCCTCTGGCCTCAGCCTCCCAAAGTGCTGTGCTGGGATTACAGGTGTGAACCACTATGGTGGCTTCTCTTTCTTTTACTTTTTTCTTTTTTTTTTTGAGACGGAGTTTCGCTCTTGTTACCCAGGCTGGAGTGCAATGGCGCGATCTTGGCTCACTGCAACCTCCGCCTCCTGGGTTCAGGCAATTCTCCTGCCTCAGCCTCCCGAGTAGCTGGGATTACAGGCACGCGCCACCGTGCCCAGCTAATTTTTTGTATTTTTAGTAGAGACGGGGTTTCACCATGTTGACCAGGATGGTCTCGATCTCTTGACCTCGTGATCCACCCATCTTGGCCTCCCAAAGCGCTGGGATTACAGGCTTGAGCCACCGTGTCCGGCCTACTTTTTTCTTTTTTTTGAGACAGAGTCTTGTTCTGTTGCCCAGGCTGGAGTACAGTGGCATGATCTCAGCTCACTGCAGTCTCCGCCTCCTGAGTCCAACTGATTCTCATTCCTCGGCCTCCCAAGTAGCTGGGACTACAGACACGTGCCACCACATCCAGCTAATTTTTGTATTTTTAGTATTTTTAAGGTAAAGACAGGTTTTCATCTTGTGGGCCAGGCTGGTCTCGAACTCCTGACCTCAGATAATCCGCCAGCCTTGGCCTCCCAAAGTGCTGGGGATTATAGGCATGAGCCACTGCACCTGGCTTAATTTTTGTATTTTTAGTAGAGATGGCGTTTCACCACATTGGCCAAGCTGGCCTTGAACTCCTTACCCTGAGTGATCCTCCCACCTCGGCCTCCCAAAATGCTGGGATTACAGGTGTGAACTTCCATGCCCAGCTCAATCACAATTTCTTCAACCCCAGAGAATGGGTAAGAAATCCATCATACCGATCTTGGTTTAAAACCCTCCTGCAGCTCTCATTATTAAGAATGAAAATGAAACTCCCTGCACCTCCAAGCGGCCCAGGTCCACGTGCATCACAGCAGACTGCCCCAGCCGCACCCACGTCCCCTCCCTCTTTTGTACCCATGATGCTCCTTTCTGCCTCTGAGCCTTCGCACGTGCTGTTTCCTCTACCTAGAACTCCTTCCCCCTTTTTGAGATCAAGTCTCGCACTGTTCCCCAGGCTGGAGTACAATGTCGCGATCTTGGTTTACTGCAACCTCCGCCTCCCAGGTTTGAGTGATTCTCCTGCCTCAGCCTCCCGAGCAGCTGGGATTACAGGCACGCGCCACCATGCCCAGCTAATTTTTGTATTTTTGTAGAGGAAGGGTTTCACCATGTTGGCCAGGCTGGTCTCGAACTCCTGACCTCAAGTGATCCCGCCGCCTTGGCCTCCCAAAGTGCTGGGATTACAGGCATGAGCCACCGCACCCGGCCCCTATCCTCTTCCACTAGTGAATCTGCTATTCACCCTCCAGACCTCAGGTCCCATGTCCCCTCCCTGGGGAGGCCTCTGGTGACCTCCCAGCGCTGATCAGGCCCCATTACAGGAGCTCATGACACTCAGCGTCCCCCACCAGACTGATCACAGAGCGGCCCATGCTCCTGGGCTCTTCTGGAAGAACGCTCATCCCGTGTAGCCTGTCCCCTCACCCCGCCGATCCTTGTCACCACGTACCTTCCTTGGAGCCAGTGGCTGCTGCTGCCGAGGATGAAGCTGACCCGGTGGACGTCCGGCCCATGGGACTGGAGTGCTTACCCCCACGGCCGGGGGGCTTCAGGCCGCTGGGCTTCTGCATGGCGGTGCCACTGGGCAGGTGAACAAGGGTGAGTGTCGGTCACATCCTCTCTGCCATCTTCACTCACCTGCGGGCAGAGACAGGAGACATTGCATCATCACTTCCCAATGGCCCACAGACCTCAAGGGCCACCGAGCAATACCCGTCCCTCCTGATGTGGGCTGGTAGAGGCCACAGCCGACTGAACCTATCGGCTCACTGCTCCCTTGCCACATGAGCCACATTCCCATTCCCGGGCTCATCATCCCAGCACCGCCCCTCTATCACAGGGGCTGGACAAACACAGAGAGGCTCGTGCCTTCCACCCTTACGTCCTGGTGTGGGGTCATCTGCCTCAACTCCACACCAGGACAGCATCTAGCCACGCCCTCTGCCTGCCTTTCCACCAGGAAGCCTTCGTGTCTGTATTTATTTTTGGTTGCATAAATATATTATAATTGAAACATGTTGTTTCATCTTCTACGCCACAAGCATCCATCAAGCTGTTTGCAACAACCGCTTTTTTGAGATGGAGTTTCGCTCTTGTTGCCAAGGCTGGAGTGCAGTGGCATGATCTCGGCTCATCACAACCTCCACCTCCCAGGTTCAAGCGATTCTCCTGCCTCAGCCTCAAGTTGCTGGGATTACAGGCGTGTACCACCACGCTCAACTAATCTTGTATTTTTAGTAGAAACAGGGTTTCTCCATGTTGATCAGGCTGGTCTCAAACTCCTGACCTCAGGTGATCCACCCACCTTGGCTTCCCTCAAAGTGCTGGGATTATAGGGGTGTGCTGCTGCGCCCAGCCAACCCACTTTTAGACTGGACACAGTGGCCTGTCATCCCAGGAGTCTGGGAGGCTGAGGCTGGAGGGTCACGTGAGCCCAGGAGATCGAGGCTGCAATGAGCTCCAGTGCACTCCAACCTGGGCGACAGAGTGAAACCCTTCCAAAGGGTGAGCTCCATGCTGACTATGGTCATTAAAAGGCCTAAAAGTGGCCAGGCACAGTGGCTCGTGCCTGTAATCCCAGCACTGTGCAAGGCCAAGGTGAATGGATCACTTGAGGTCAGGAGTTCGAGACCAGCCTGGCCAACATGGTGAAACCTCGTGTCTACTAAGAATACAAAAATTAGCCAGGCTGGATAGCACATGCCTGTGGTCCCAGCTACTTGGGAGGCTGAGGCACAAGAACTACTTGAACCCAGGAAGTGCCGGTTGCAGTGAGCCGAGGTCCCACTACTGCACTCCAGCCTGGATGACAGAGTGACACTTTTCCCAAGAAAAAAAAAAGCCCTAAAAGGGCTGGGGGCAGTGACTCACACCTGTAATCCCTACACTTTGAGAGGTCAAGATGGGGGGTCGACTGAGGCCAGGAGTTCGAAACCATCCTTGGTAGCTTAGCAAGACTTTGTCTCTACAGAAAACGAAAACTAAAAAATTAGCTGGGCACGGTGGCTCACACCTGTAATCCCAGCACTTTGGGGGCCGAGGCAGGTGGACAACTTGAGGTCAGGAGTTCGAGACCAGCCTGGCCAACATGGAGAAACCCCATCTCTACCAGAAAAAAGAAAAAGAAAAAGAAAAAAAAGGCCAGGTGAAGTGGCTCACGCCTGTAATCCCAGCACTTTGAGAGGCCAACATGGGTAGATCACCTGAGGTCAGGATTTTGAGACCAGCCTGGCCAATATGGCAGAAACCCCATCTCTACTAAAAATACAAAAATTAGCTGGGTGTGGTGGCGGGCACTTGTAATCCCAGCTACTCAGGAGGCTGAGGCAGCAGAATCACTTGAACCCAGGAGGCAGAGGTTGCAGTGAGCCGAGATTACACCACTGCACGCCAGCCTGGGCAACAGAGTGAGGCTCCATCTCAAAAAGGAAAAAAAGAAGAAAGAAAAAAAAAAGGGCCAAGTGTGGTAGCTCATGTCTGTAATCCCAGCACTTTGTGAAGCCAAGGGAGGAGAATCACTTGAGCCCAGGAGCTCAGGAGTTCAAGATCCACCTGGGCAACACAGTGAGACCCTGTTCTCTATAAATAATAAAAATGAAGTATTTCTTTAAAGGCCTAAAAGCAAAGATACATGATAATCATGGCAAAAAAAAAAAAAAAAGTGTGTGTGATACTTGCTAATACAGTAATCTCAGAAGCAAAAGAAAGCTTTATGTCTTTTTTTAAAATTTATTTATTTTTGAGACGGACTCTCACTCTCTCGCCCAGGCTGGAGTGCAGTGACACCATCTTGGCTCACTGCAACCTCCACCTCCCAGGTTCAAGTGATCCTCCTGCCACAGCCTCCTGAGTAGCTGGAATTACAGGCACCCGTCACAATGCCTGGCTAATTTTCATATTTTTAGTACAGATGGGGTTTTGCCATGTTGGCCAGGCTGGTCTCGAACTCCTGACCTCAAGTGATCCTCCCGCCTTGGCCTCCCAAAGCGCTGGGGCCAGCTTTGTGTCATTATGACAAAGCAGAGAAGAGCTTAGAGGAGCACCAGCGCTTTACAATAGGGACTCTGGTGGGGAGCAAAGCCTCCAGGCAAGATGATACCTGTTTAGGGGATCAGGGGGGCAGCCAGATGGGGCTGGGGGTCAGAGAGGTGGACAAATCCCCCACCCGCAGGTCTCTTCCCCACTATCCCACACTCACAAACTTTCCTGCACCCAGTGTTTCTGGAGGGCTCACCATGAGCCAGATCCCATTCCCACCCCAGAGCTGCCGGCAGGACTCAGCCTCTGTCCTGGGGAGCACCGTCCAAAGGGGAGAGGGAATTCAGAGCACCAGTCAGGGAGGATTCCAGGCAAAAGCATCCTCACATCTGGACCTCGGAAACAGAGGAAATCTCTGGGCAGTAGATGCCCCTGTTTGTCCAGCCGTATCTGCAGTCACACATTTTAAAGAATCCTTTCACCACTCATCTTATTAATATTATTTTTAGAGACAGGGTCTTACTCTGTTGCCCAGACTGGAGTTCAGTGGCGTGATCTTGGCTCAACTGCAATCTCTGCCTCCCAGTTTCAAGCGATTCTCCTGCCTCAGCCTCCTAAGTAGCTGGACTACAGGGGCCCACCACCATGCCTGGCGAATTTTTATATTTTTTGTAGAGATGGGGTTTCACCATGTTGGCCAGGCTGGTCTCCAACTCCTGACCTCAAGTGATCCTCCCACCTCTGCCTCCCACAATTCAGGGATTATGGGCATGAGCCCCTGCACTCAGTCCCTTTTTTTTTTTTTTTTTTTTGAGACAGAGTCTCACTTTGTCACCCACGCTGCAGTGCAGTGGCGTGATCTTGGCTCACTGCAACCTCCATCTCCTGGGTTAAAGCAATTCTCCTGCCTCGGCCTCCAAGTAGCTCAGACTACAGGTGCCTGCCACCAGGCCTGGCTAATTTTTGTATTTTAGTAGAGATCGGGTTTCTGCCATCTTGGCCAGACTGGTCTCAAACTGATGACCTCGAGCAATCCTCCCGCCTCAGCCTCCCCAAGTGCTGGGATTACAGGCATGGGACACTGTTCCTGGCCTTTTTTTTTTTTCCTAAACCTATTTGAGGGACACTGTCATTTGCATTTCCAGAGTTCTGATGAACAGGGAAGCCAATCTACAATGCTCACGGCAGGGATGCGTGATGTGTTCTCAGACATCCCATCAGTCAGCAAGGCTACTACTACCTGTCCTGGCACATCCGGGTGAAGGATCACCTCCTCCCTCGGGCTGGCAGCTACAGGAGCAGCGGAGAGCGAGCTGCCCCCGGGCACACAGCAGTGGAGCCAACATGCACTGGTGAGCCCAGGAGAACACTGGGCAGGTCTGCCAGCCCTGGCCCTCAGGGCCTGGCAAATTCAACATTCCAACGCCCCTGGTGCCCTGGGAATTCTGGGGACCGGGAGTCAATCATGCTGGGGTACAAAGCTGCTCCCTTAGTCCCCAGAACCTGGCCCTCCTAGTGGCTCGTTCACTAAGGGAGCTGGACTGTGGGCTTTGGGCACAGGTGTCTGAGAGCTTGGTTAGGCTGGGTCAGCATTTCCTATGCCAGCAAAGGTAAATCAGGGTCGTCTCTGGTGACAGTAAATGTCCCACCCTGTGGGTGACCAAACAAGCTTCCTGCTTCTGTAGCTCAGCTGGGCCACCTTCTCATCTAGAAATTCCTGATGCAGAGAAAAGAGAGCGTTGCCAGGACTCACGTGAGGTACAAGGAACTCCCTCCCCATCCTGACCCCCCCAGCGCCTCTTCTCTGCCCAAAAATCCTTCCACAGAGAAAACAGCTAAAACTCATATCTAATAACAAACTTCCACTCTTTTCTTGGAGATGGAGTCTCACTCTGTCACTGTGGCGCGATTTCGGCTCACTGCAACCTCTACCTCCCAGGTTCAAGCCAGGAGCTGGGACTACAGGCATGTGCCACCACATCAGCTAATTTTTATATTTTTAGTAGAGATGGAATTTCACCATGTTGGCCAGGCTGGTCTTGAACTCCTGACCTCAAACGATCCACCTGCCTCAGCCTCCCAGCATGCTGGGATTACAGGTGTAAACCACCGCGTCCGCCCCAGACTTGGATTCTTTTCTTTTTCTTTTTTTTTTCTTGAGATGTGGTCTTGCTCTATCACCCAGGCTGGAGTGCAGTGACACGATCACAGCTCACTGCAGCCTCTAACTCCTGGGCTCAAGGATCCTCCTGTCTCAGCCTCCTGAGTAGCTAGGACCACAGGTGCACACTACCGTGCCTGGACAATTGGTTTTCATTTTTTGTAGAGAATGGGTCTAGCTACGTTGCCCAGGCTGGTCTCAAACTCCCGGCTCAAGCAGTCCTCCTGCCTCCACCTCTGAAAATGCTGGGGTTTCAGGTGTGAGCCACGAGGCCCAGCCAGGGCTGGTATTCAGGAATCGTAAGGAACTCTGCAACTCACTAAGAAGACAACGACCCAGTGAAAAATGGGTGAAAGGTCTAAATAAACATTTCACCAGAGAAGATGTCCAAACGGTTCACAGGTGCATGAAAAGATGACTGACACTGTCACTCATGCAGGCAATGCAGATCAAAACCACAAGGGCCACCACTGCCCACCAAGGGGAATGGCTAAACATT